AGCCGGCGCGGGTCATGTTTCGCTTTGTGTACACGACTAGTTTTCTTTGTCAATAAGATAAATGTGTAAGAAGAAAGGAATTGGTTTAAAGTCGCAATCGTTTATTTTACAAGTCTGCTTTCTCCAAGCAAAAGTGACTTAATCTACGCTAATGAACGAATTTTCTGTGAATTAAGATATCGCAAAGCTTACGCAACAATAACATCAACCAAGACTAAAATAAACGACAAGATGCATGCATATATTTATTCTGTTAACGAAAACCACTAGGCTTTAATGTTTGTGTGTAGAAGTTTCGCAACTACAGACGATACATTGAATTGCTCTAATCTTCCTTCAGCATTGCCCATGATAATAAAATACTGGCTCGTAATGTGCCCTTTTGTACATCCAGTATCCTTACCACGAACTAAAGGGGGCAACCTACGGGCGGTACCTGAAACCCGAATTTTCGATCTTGGAGTCACTTTGGTCTCCCGTTTCTCACCCGTCGAATCCTTAGGCGGATTTTCTATAGCATAGCAGTAGGATGCTGTAGCCAGAAAACCAGGACCGTTGGTCTTGAGCACGCTCTTTCCAACCTGCAAATACACGATCTGGCCGTCGTCTGCCCAGACCACAAGTTGAAATAAAAATGAATCATCACTTTTAGCAACGTCTTCCTGTAGATGACTCGCAGGCGGAGAGGTGCCCTTCTTTGGCTTCTTTTTCTTGATAGAAAGTTCCTTGGCGAACCATACAGAGGGGACCGATACCTCAATTGCTTGGAGATTCCAGACCCAACGTTGTGGGCTGTCAAACAATTTAATCTTCTTAAGCAAAAGAATAGGTTGATTGTCAACGATCTTTTCCCATACGAGTACCTCTCCCATAGCATGACCAGAAAAAAAACGACAGTTAAGTTCGGAATACTGTTTTCCTGTTGCCAGACAGGTTATCCGTCTTTGATCATACTTCATATGCGCTTCACTCGGTTCACTAGATATCTCTTTCTGCAGGGCTGAAGCATGAGAACCCTTTAACAGAGTCCCCCATGGGATGGACGCAGGGATACGCATTTCGTATTGAAACCGCTGCTCATCAAGAGTAAGCCGAATCCCAGGATCCGATGGATCGGCACTGCGTCGCACATTATACGCAAAGGTATTGGCTACGATATTCCGTCGGATGTTTATGCGAGGCACGTGAATTGCAACGCTCTTGGTCGCATCCTCATCAACATCTAATTCACCAGCGGGATAATGCAACGTCTCCTGGTACTCGAATTTCTCCCCAGACAAAGACCAGCACTTAATCGACCCGCTTTCCTGCCCTACCAACAAATACCGCAAGAACGGTGTCGTCAAAACATCCACTGCTGTGCAGATTTCGGGGTGCGATAGGTAATGGATACACTGCAGCCCCGACCGCACGCGCAGAACAAAGATGTCTTCGAGGCTGACAGCGTAACACAGAAACAGTGCTCCTGGCATCGCCTCGAGGTCCGTCTTTTCGTTCACTGGATTCTCATCCTCAGCACGTGGTGGGCTGGAGTGTGCTGCTTCGGCAGATTGGGGGCCTTTTGCGAGGATGAGCTGCGTGATGGGGCCCTCGGTGGGTTTGCACTGCGACCGGATACGGAAGGTTACAGGGCACCACGCGGAAACCACACCATCCTCACAGCCGGTTAAGACCCACTCCGTTACGATCGGCGGTTCGCACAAAACCTTTTCGACTGGGGCTGGCTCGCTCTCGTCCGAACCACGCCCCCTCATCGCATTCGCCTCTCGATCGCGTAAATACTCCAAAACGGAGACGCACTGCCCCGGGGATCCATCTTCGTTTTTCGCAGTGTTGGCTGGCGGTGGATAGCATCGCACGGCATTAACCCAGTCGGGATGGTGCATCAAGGCGAGCTGGCGACGCTGGAAGAGTTCCCATACATAAACCCCGTTACCCAAAGTCGCTGCATAAACGCGATCACCTGCAATATCCACATCTATACACTTGATGGTATCATTCGGTCCCACAAAGGAGGTTCGAAGGTGATCAAAAGCAGAAAGGGACGAGGGCATCAAGCATGGATCTGCTTTAGGTGAAAGTAACTAAAGAGGAGGAACACAAAAATGTCTCTGGCATTATTCTTCCCTTGATAAATAAATAAGGACATGTAGATTCCAGAGAAATAAGCAGATGCATGAATTCGTTGCCTCCGTATGCAAACTAAAGTGTACGTAAAGAAAGAACATTTTTATCAACATGTTGCACTAGTAAAGCATTGGAAAATGCTTTATTACTTGCATTGTTTGAGATTTTACTTTTATAAATCATGACAATGTTATGGAGCCAAATATGTACTAATCATCATCACAGAAAAGCAAAAAGGTCAAAAAAATTGGAAAAATAAATGGGTCTTACAAATCTTCGTAGGCCTATCTCACATTGTTATATGTGTATGAATAACGATAAACGCTATAGTAACTGGAGTACAATAATCACAGCAGTTCGATATTTGTCTTAAACATAAATCATAAACTACTGAGGACGAAATACACTTGAGACTCTTTCCTTCGGTATGTTTCCCTTTTCTCTTTCTTTCACCATGCACTTCCTCGAGGATCTAGCGAGGGTATTTTTAAAATATAATGTAAACGAACCCGCTTCTCAAATATATATATATGAATATATATATACACGCTAACATTCAGTGTATAATACATGTCAGACGTACATAAAAAAGATCAACGACTCTTTTGATTTTCAAACATTAGCCCTTTGCCTGTATATCTGCGTGTTCAGAGATGATATACGTGATGCGCAGCTCTTTTCTTCCCGTCATGCCTTCAACCGCTGGCATTATGCGGTTCTAAACTGTAAAAAAAAAAAGACCGAAAATGACATCAACATTGAAAAGGTATAAAGTGCAAGCAAACAAACAAGACTAACTCCTACATGAGTAAAGTTGTATTTATTTCTGTTATCTATCCGATATTGAAACGGAAAAGTAAAGTCTGGAGCAGCTATATATAAATCCATAGCCCTGAAAGAACACGCCGTGATGTCATTACACTAACCACAGCCCATAAAACATACCCCATTAGCCCTCAACGGCTAATCGATGGGAAAAAAACCCACGTATGGTGGCTTTTCACGCCATTTTTGCACATATGACCTGAATGCCTACCCTCCCCCCCATATATATATATATATGCCGACAAGGGGCGCACACCGGGGGCGCGATCAATAGACACACATGCCATCAATAAACCGCCGCACCTCCTGCAAGGCTGGTGGGGAGAGCTCCGAGCAGAGCACCTTCACGGCCTGCACGATG